CATGAAAATTACTCTTTTCTTTGAGAGCGTTTGTTCCTGTATTCTGTGGACTGACTCAGCAGCCCCGTTAGCCGTGCTAAACTACCTGCGGCTAGCGTTTGGTTGGAAATTGAAGAACCGTTCTCACAAGCACGTGTTTTTGATCTCTTTTCTCCGCTACTCCTCACTCTATCCTGATGTGCTACAAGTAGAAAAAGAATTAATCTTAAATGATGCACTGCATATGAGCCAAGATCTTTGTGCTGTGTCCACATAAGAGGAGCTTGTTTTAAACATGGTTTACTGGACTGTGTCTTATTTTGCAGTCTTAAAAACAAATGTTGCTGTGGCCTCAGGCAGAAATACAGGTGCAAAAATGAATTGCATAGGTTATAGCCAAAGCTTCTCCTTAAGTCTTGCATCCCTCCATCTTCTCTCCCTTCCAGTAAGTAGAAAATATGTCCGTTTTCACATTGCACAGAGATTCAGTAAATGAGGCCAAAGAGCTCCTTCAGGTAATAAAGGAAACATGCATAGCATTTTTTTTCCTTCTTCCTGTTTCATTGCAGACATCTATTTCAGCTATTATACTTTCTCATAAATATTATATGTATGTATATTGCATATATATGGCAGTTCCCCCTGAAGCCCACCCTTGGAGGTGAGCTGCTTTCATGTGCCTTTTTTCTCCCTTAGTAGAGATGCGTTCATGCTTTAGATCAAGGACGTTCTTGCCTCTTAGGTAAAGTGTAAGTCATCTGATTTTTGTAGACAGTGATGAAAAGCTCAGTCCAAGAAAGCATGTTTTGAAAATCTGCCTACCTGTGAGCGCAGGCTATGTGTGCATGCAGACAAAATGATTTATTGCTGAAGTGCAGGCAGGACTTAAAGAACAAACAGACTTTTATTTCCTACTGTTTCCAGAGCCTTACTGACTTAAAAATGGAGTACGTTTACAATAATTTGAATGTTGGGTTGAGGTGTTTTTTTCCTTCGTTCACGCGATACTCTGAAGTCTCTCTTCTTGTATGCTCCCTGTTGTTAGGAGATCAAACCACCTTGTAAATATTCCATTTTCTTCACAGTGTTATAAGCACCGAGTGCAGAAGGAGGGTGAATTATAAGGAACAAATCACAAGCCGGTGAAGCAATCCTGCGCCATATGTGGAATTGCAAGGCAATGTTTGGAGCTGCCCAGTATGCCCATGTATGGCAGCTTTGAAGCTGCCCAGTATGCCCATATAATGCCTATCTAACACTGAGGACAGACCTTTAACCTAGGATTCAACACAGCCACAGGAAAGGCTGTGTGATCCAATGCGAAAGTGATGCGTGGAGCCTCTTATTTGAATTTAAAAGATGAAAATCTGTCTAGTATAATCCAGTTCAGTTGTGGTTTTGTTTTGTTTTTTTGTTGTTGCTGTTTGTTTGGCTTTTTAACTGTGCTCCCTGTCCCATTCCCACCCCCTCCCCCCCCCCCCCCCAAACAGGTGTTGCTAATTGGAGGATATTTTAGAAATTCTTTTCCGTCAGTATTATCTTTCCTTTTTTCTGTCAACTTCTGTGGTTCTGCATTGAGTCCATAAAACTTGCCCCCCCATCTTTTTTTCCCCTGTGACAACATATTGTCATGCTGTAAACACCTGTTCTAATGATATTTGCTCTTCTTGAGAGTGTTTATACAATGCCAGTAAACATTTAGCAAGTAACTAAATGCTGGCATGAAAATGGGTCTAGAAAACTCTTGTTTCACGTTGTACTTCTATTTAATTTGAAGCTCATAATTGATATCGTTCACAGAAATAACTATCTTGGTTTGTTAATTGGGAGCAAGCATGAGTATAGGTGACGGAAAGTGTTAACTTGTACCCTCTGGTGCTTTTACCTATGCAAACATAGGTCATCAGAGCAAGAGGATCTTTGCAAACAAGGGCTGGATTAGATGTTCTTTGATTCAGAATGAATATTCAAATATCTGAAGGTTGAGACTGGCTGTTTCAAAACGTGCTGCATTGTCCTTATGTGCACTATGCCTGTTGTTATTCTCCCTTAGGTTTGGGGTTAAATATTTTCAAGGCAGATCTGATGCCAGCTTGGACCTAGACAGGGAACTCCTAAAGCAAGCCGTCAGTTGGCGGAACGTAACAATATTTCACCATGAAAAGCTTCAGTGGCTTGAACTTCAAATAATTTATTTCTAAATTACTTCTACTGTAATTCTTTTTAATTCAAATAGGCTTCCAAGTTGACGTAAAACTCAGTAAGTGCAAGGAACAGTTTAATGAATTGAAAGATAGGACTGAGTCTTTTAAAGTAAATGTAACAAAAAATGCCTGCAATAATTGCTTAGATGGAAATCAAGTCTTAATAGCTTTGTTAATGATTGTAGTGAATATTATGTTTGTGACAAAATACAGAGAATATATCCAGCTGATCCTTGTGCAAGAAGCTTGTTTTGAATGTTTGATAGAATTATTCCCTAGGAGCAGTCAGTGATTAATATTTTTGTTCCTTTCTGTGTAGCTAGTGACTGGCTTTGCACCCCCCCCCCTTTTTTCCCCTCAAATATTTAACCATAGCCTCCTTTAGCTTCCCTCTGGAAACAGTTTGTGGAAAAAATGGTTGTTAAGGATTGGTTCTGTGCTAGTTTGACATGCCCCTACCCTTGCAGTGGTTCTCTGGCAAGTGAGATGTAGGGCATGTGGTGGTGGTGGTTGCTTTTCTGTTTATAACTTCTGGAGTCCCTTCAGTCCGTATAAGGAGTGTGTGTGGTGATGTGTTGAATTAATGTTTCTGGAGAGTGATCACCAAGTGCAGAAGGGGCAAGGTACACCTCGTGTCCTGCGGCTCTAGGAGGCATCAAGCGTTGCTTGATTCAGTAAAGACTCAGCACTAAGTAGCACTAGTGAGTACAGCAACAACATGTGGCAATGTTTTAATGGGTCGTCCTACCCACAATTAAATTGACCAATTTTAAACCCACTTTATGGAGTATAAAGACTTAATTGGGACAGTGGAAGAATTTGTTCATTTATTTTACTCTATAAGCAATGAAGGGAGTTGTGTTTTCCCCAACTTTGATTAAATTATAATGCATGACAAACTAGTGCAGTATAGCGGTTAGAAATGTTTAAGAAAGCTCTATTACTGACACGGACAGCGTAGCTAGTTGTTCATCTCCTGATTTGAGAGATTTGAACATGATCCTGCAGAAATTGGAGTAGGGGAGAGTAAAATGTCTGCCACATGCTCTTTGCAGCTCTTCCAATAAGCCTTGGGGACTCTAATATAAATTTTATTTTGTTTGATAATATTTTTCTACATCGCTTAAAGTTCTTCAATCTAGAGAGACAAAATTTATGCCAAAAGGGCAGAAAACTGTGCCCAGGCTGCAAATCAGTGGCTGCAGACAATCCAAGCAATCCAAACTTACTTTATCAAACATTTTTCTTTTCGAGGCATGCTAAATAATAATGAGGAAAATCCTTCTTTCAAAAAAGGAGAGAGAGAGAAGCTAGAGTGTAAACAACATCCCTGTATTTATTGTTTGCAGACATCTCTTAATGCTAGTGCCCAAAATGCAAACCCTTTTCTGAGTTTTCATCAAAATCTTGAGGGTAGTGTTTTAGGGTGGGGTTTTGTTTTGTGTTTTTGTTTGTTTGTTTTTTTTAAACCTTTCTTTCTTTCCCCTTTTTCCCATAGTAGCTAACAGTGGGGACGTCTAGGGGCTGTCCACCTCCTAGTCTTTGTGTAAATACAGTCATTATTTGGTAGAGGGCTCCTCCAGTGTTTCCCACATCTGCTTTGTTTCAGTTCTTTTCATTTTATAATCCTTAATCAGATGCCCATTAATTCATTTAATTTGATAAATCAAAGGTTCAAAATTTCCCCTACTTTGTATTTTACTTCTTATGCCATCAACAAGTGAAGCTTATTTACAATTGCCCCCTTGTCCATAAAGTTTGTGTAGTTTGAAAGCAGGCAAGATCCAAGCTGTGACCTAAAAGGACCTCAATTAGTATTTCTCTGCTGGCTAGAAAGCCTCTCAAGTTCAGTCCCCTTGGTCTGTTGGTTGGTGTTCTAACGTTGCTCAGTGTTTCTTCATCTTACTTCCTAACCTGACAGGACTCACATCAGTTGAGAGAAACTGAAATGCAAGGTGCTTTATTCAAATTGTTATCCTCTTCATTCTTTAAAACTTGAGCTAAATTTCACAGCATGCGTGTGATGTAATGATTCAATTCATTAAAAAGAGAGGAGTTTTTGAGGTGATGGCTTGTAAATGATTACGTAACTCCCACAGCATAGTTGCATTGAGTTCTTTTTTCCTGCTTCTGGACATTAACAGCACCTGCTGATTAGATGTGGTAAGTAAAAACTAGTTCCCAAAAGTATATCTCATAAAGTAAAAGGATAAATGCTTATAATCTCCCTTTTTTTTTAAGAACAGGTTGTTCTTTCAGAGCAACTTAACAATATTCGTCTTTTGAGAGAAGGAAACAAATTCCTACATTGTTGCGTGTGGCATGGGCCTTGTTCTCCTGAGGCTAAGTGATAATGAGTATTAAAGAATGGAGGAGTGTTTGAAGTCCAGTGAGAGTCCTCCCTAGTCCTGTACCTTTCGGTCATTCTGTGAAATGCAACAGCAGACATCTGAAAGAGAATGTACCCAGTATGAAATGACTCCTTTTCAATAAAAAATTAGGCTCCACAATGAAGCCAAAGTCTAAGTTCAGTAAATAGAAGGTCCCTTAACATGGAAGTGTTTTTTTTTTTTTTTTTTGCTTGAAATAGATCAGCTGTCTGTGGTATATACCCCTGTTGAGTTGGGATAATGATGCATATAGACACAAGCCTCCAACAGCTTGCACAACAATTTTTTCATGAGGCAATTCTCCATTTCTTGTGTGGAAACGTATGAAAGTTTGTTCTTTTTGTTCATGTTTAGCTGTATGTGTTCCAAATGAAACTCACTGATGTCATTTATGAATTTTACATTTTATCTTTGCTTCCTTCTTAAGGAGATGGACAAAATTTGGTTACAGAAGATGTGACAGTAGTGGAGGGAGAGGTTGCCACCATCAGCTGTCGAGTGAAGAACAGTGATGACTCAGTGATTCAGCTCCTGAATCCCAACAGACAAACGATTTATTTCAGAGATTTCAGACGTAAGTTTCCCCTCTGTGTTGTTTGATAGCAACTTTTCCTCCACCTTGCTTGGTCTCTGGATAAAGCAATTGCTAAGATCTCTTCTTTTAATTTAATGTTAGACACTTAAAGTTTAGTCAAATCTTTAGAGGGTAGATGAGACAGACAATCATAATCTTTCTCCTTAATGGAAACCTTGATGCTCCCTTTTAAAAGTCAGACTGTCTTACTTTGCAATAGGAATTGATTGTAGTAATTCAGGGTGAATTGCAATTGAGCGCCACATATTTAGCTGACACAAACAAATTGAATAGGGCAAAGTAGAGAGAGTGCAATGTTCTTGGAGGTAATATGTTTAGTTTGAAGACTGAAATTTTCGATACAATCTATGCCTCCTATAACTAAAACAAAATCTCCTGTCACTGCAGTGTCCAGTGAATGAGGCTGGCTTTGTTTCTTGTTATGACAATGCTGTGAAGCCTAGTAGCTGAAATGAAATGTTTGAAATTGTTTGTATTACTGTCAGTACTGGGCCTGGGCACCCTGAACCATTGTGCTAAGCATTAGGAAAACCTACAGCAGGTCACACTCTTTTCCCAGACATTCGATGATCTGAGTATCTAAAAATGTGGAAGGCCAAAGGAGAAATTGTGACTCATTCCCACTGAGCTAACATGCAAGGCCCTTGTGCAATGTTCAGCACAGGCGTTTTCCAAAAAGATAAACCAAACCTAGGACAGGTGCTTCAGAAATGCTTTCCACTGGTAAGATTTAAAATGCTTACTTTTAACATTCCTGAAAGAATTTGGACAGACGTTACTGGTCAGGGAATAAATTTTAAATTTTCCTTTTGCTGATTCTTATCTGTTTTGTGCTGCCCCATGTCTGCTTACCTGTCAAACCTGCAGTCTGCAGATGGTCAGAAGTGAGTACATATGGAAAGGGATTTTCACAATAAACTGTTTGCCTACACATCCCTAAGTCTTCTGAAAATAAATATCGCATCCAAAGGTTTTGTACTGTGCCAGGGGAATTTGCTTATGTTGATTCTTTGTAATGGTTTGAGAACGCAAGTATTTTTATAGACTCAAACTGAAATGTGAGAAACATGATCAAAGTTGCAGTCAGGAACCCATAGGATAGTTGTCTAGGTTCTACTACTGTTTTTATAGGTTTTTGACTTTGCTGTTGTGTTGAGAGGGGGGGTGCTGTATCTGTCGTGTTCATTGCTGTCTCTAATGATCTGTTTGTTCCACAGCGCTGAAGGACAGCAGGTTTCAGTTAGTGAATTTCTCCAACAGTGAACTCAGAGTGTCATTGACAAATGTCTCCATTTCTGATGAAGGAAGATACTTCTGCCAGCTCTACACTGATCCCCCCCAGGAAATTTATACCACTATTACAGTGCTTGGTAAGAACTGAATAGGTGCTTGCTGTGAACTTTTCAATCGCTCGGTGCACAAGGTCTGAGCAGAGAAGGCAGTGGGGTGGGACTGTACGCTCCGTTTTGAGAATTGTTTTATAAGTCTTTGAGCCACACAATAAGAGCCATAACTCACCTCTTTTTTTTTTTTTTTTCTGATAAACATCAAGTATTTAAATGCAGAGTGCTCTCTCACTGAAGACCAGCTCTTCAATAGCTTAACTCAGTTGCATACTTCAGTCTGGAGGCACAAAATTTTTGACGGTGACTGGCAAATGCCAAGTGAAATTGTTCAGTGGAATGCCATAGCTGTTGCACGTTCTGCCTATCTTGCAGCAGTTCTCTGATTTTTACCCTGAACCTGTCTTTGTAAGTTACGTTTTATTTATGGTGTGGTGGTTGGGGCTTGTTCTTTTTATTCCCAGGACGTTTTGGTTTCAAGGAGTAAGCAGAGGTGCAAGTGTGAGGTGTTTTCCACTTCTAAGCCTTTCTCTTGATTAAGTCACTTAAGTGCTGCCAAATTTTCTTACCATTGTGAAGTGGGGTTTAATACCAGCTGTCTTTTACAGACAGTCTGTAAGGATTAAATGTAGCATACTGTCTGTAAAAATATCTGAATGAATCATTTGGCTTTTGGGGCAAGTTGGAACTTGCTGACGTCTTGGAATAGAAATCTGTCCAGTCAATGGCTTTGGAGAAATGTGTGCGCTGTTTAAGACAAGCTTTCCTAGGTGATGTATCTTTGGTTTTCTACAGGTCTGTACCCACAGGCAAGAGAAGTTAAGTTGTAGCATCTCATTCAGTGAGAGGAGAAAGGACAGAAAGCAGCCAGGATGTAAAAGCTGTAGATGATTTCTTTTAATAAGTATCTGATATGTGCAAGAAAAGTAAATTAGTGTTAATATTTTGTAGCAGATTAGAACTATTCAGTTTATGAATTTTGTATTTTCAATAATCAAACTGCTCTGATCACATACTAAACCTTTTCTTCTGAAACTTGGAGTTTTGGAAGGTCATAATGAATAATGACAGCGTCCTTTGTCCATCTTCTTCTGTCTGTCTGTCTATATTCCTTAAGGATAAATATTACAAACGTACCTAGCTGGTGAACCTCCTGGCATTCCGAAGATGCACAAGTTTTTTAATGTTTGTTGGTTGACATATATTCAGCAAAATCTTAAGTTTGACTAACGGAAAGTGATAGCTTCCTATTAATTTTACTGAAAGTTGTTATTTTTAACACGTAAAAACTTAAGGTCTTTCGTATGACCTCTTACAGTTAGTTGTTTGTTTAGGAATTCCTCCCGCTTTCAGAGTTGAAGTTGATTTCTGGTTTCCCCCCCCACACACACACTTCCCCTGGCAATACAGAGATATGTTCACCAGACAGACCTGCTGAGTTCTTGCCTTTTGTTCACTTGCTTACATTTTGCAAGGCTGTGGTACGTGTGCAGCTGCAGGATTGATGTGATTACCAATAATAGTAACTAATGCCATTAGAGAGCTATTTCTGCAGATTAGCAGTGGCTTTTACGATCCTATTAGTAGGAGAACCTGAATCACAGTGAATGACTTAATGTAAGATCTCACTTGCTGATTGGTTTAAATTTCTCTCTTCTTTTATTTAACGAGATTTGCTTCTTAGGTTTTTATACACTGTTTAAACAATGTTTATGATCAGCTCTGTATAGCTGTTATATTTACCAACAACTTCAGAGTTTCAGTGTAGCAGCCAGTATTCCTATTAATATGAAGCTTTCTTCCAGCTTTCTTCCTGTAGTCCTACATGCACAAAAATACTTGGTTGTGTTTAATTTAACTGCTACCAATGTGTTTGAAGTGCAAGCATTTATTCTATTCATCTATAAGCAAGTACTGCTTGTCTTCCAAGTGAGAGACTAATGCAATTGTGGGGGGAGGTTGTTTGTTTTAATATTAACTGTGTTTCAGAATTCAGGGAAAAATCTGTTTTCTTGTCATGTACTTCAGTTCCTTTTTAGAAAAATTTGGAGCATGGCCAGCGTGTGCCTGCCTCTGCCTGACACTAATAAAGCAGTGAGTGTTTTCTCTTTACCTTCATCACATACCTGAGCAAAACCTTAGTTCACAGAGCAGGCAACAAAGATAGATGGCTATTATTAGGAGTCCAGTGAGGGGAGTGTCTGTCTTGCAGCATTTGTACTTAGCTGTAGGGTACTGAGAAGCCACGAGTAGCATGCCTTTTCTTACGTGTTATTGACTCCCTAATTAGGAGAGAAAAAGGGAGGGCAGGTAATTTTCAGTGTCAGTATATCATCGGTTCTACTAGGAATCCATTTTCCACCAAAGATCTCTTGGTTGTTACGCAGACCTCTTTATGTTTTAAGTGTTGGGAAGGAGTGGATTTGCTAACCTGCTTCTAACGATGCTCAGTCTGGAGAGCAGAGCAAAGTTTGGAGACATCCTTTTTCATAGCCAGTCTTAGAAAAGAGCTTGCTAAACGCTTTCACTTTTTTTTTTTTCCTGTAATAGTGTTCTCTCCCCCCCACCACCACCACCTCCTTTTCCTATGTATTTTAATGTCTTCAGTGACACTATATGTAGATTTATTCATGCTTAATTGGAACATGTGAAAATCTCAAATACGTGGTCTGTTCTGTTCTTTTTAGAGAAAAGCCACAAGTGACTAATTAGTCCCTTTGATCATCTGGATGGTATTTATATGTATTTGTTCCTCATTAGCTGAAAAATGCGTTAGTCACGCTTGAACTGTATGGTTGCTTAATCATATTGATCAGAACAAAAAAGTTGCCTTTGGAAGTTTTAGGTTTTCTCTGCAAGTGCAACTCCCTGCTGTATAAACTGTTGATGTTCACTTTTCCTCTATTTTTTGCCTCACTAGCTACTGGTGCTTTCATATTTAAAAAAAAAAAAAAAAAAAGGAAAAAGTTTCTGTCATAATTTTTAAGCTTGTTCATCCTGTCTCTGGGTTGTGCTGTGGTAGTGGTTATCCCTCCTGAAGCTCTAGGCTATTTCTTAATATTACTGGATTATTTTTCATTGAAGATTATAGTCTTCTAGCTTTGTGGTTTTCAAGAATCTTGATCTACAGAGAGTATTTGTCTTAGGAGATGGCAAATTACCCTCCTAAAGTAATTGCTGTGTGATGGGAGTATCTGTCTGCCCCTATCAAAGTTGCCTCTGTTCTCTCTGAGATGGTTTTGTATTTCCTTTGTGGTTTATGTTGATGGGAGAGGCAATGTTGTTTAAAAGGTGATGGCATTCCACCACGGTCTTGTGCTCAGTGGCTTTTTTTTTGAGTCTTAAATGAGCTTGATGTTTGCTGGCCTGCTTCCATTCCTTAAGGCTGAGGCTTGAAATGGAACAACATGAGAGAAAAATTGCCTTCTGAGAGCTAGAACCGTGGGTAAGTAATGCACTCTGAAATGTCAGCTTTTGTTCCTCTTCTCCCTGTCAAAAGGAGCCAAGAAATGTGCACGGAGTCAAACTGTTTTTTTTTAAATAGCAACATATGCAACTGAATAGCATGGAAGTGTAAAACTTCTACTTGGAATGGTGCCTACCTGGGAGAGCAAACAAAGTTAACAATTTGATAAATAATACTTTGTGAAACTACTATTTATGATTAGGTGGAGAGCGTGAGTGCTTATGGTTATCACAAAACTGCCGGCTAAAGGATTTGATCAATTGAAAGATCAAATAAATGCTGGTGGCTAGTTTTTTCTGGTATGTTTTATGGGCTTTCCAGAAGGTCTTGTCCTGTGTTAGTGGTCAAAACATGACTGGCTTGTTTTTTCATCAAGTATTTGTTGTTTTATCTTTTTCCTTTTAGTCCCACCACGCAATTTGGTAATTGATATCCAGAAAGAAATTGCCGTTGAAGGAGAAGAGATTGAGCTGAACTGCACTGCCATGGCCAGCAGACCAGCCACCACAATCAGATGGTTCAAAGGAAACAAGGAGCTAACTGGTAGATGTATTGTCTCTGTCCTTTTTCAGATAGCTGAAATGATTTGTGCAATATTGTATATTTGTCCTCTATTGCCACTTGGGAAAAAAAAAAAAAAAAAAAAAGGAGTAAGCTGCTTTAAAGCCTAGCTCAGGAACCAAGGAGCATGCGGGCAGCCATAAGGGCTACAGAAGGGCTGAACTTAATTTTGTCCTCTTCCTGCCTTCCAGACTTGGCTTCAGGGTTCTAGATTTTTTCTGTAACTGAAGGTGACCTTGAGGAGCCCTGAAGCTGTGCAGAGGATTTATTTCTGTGGTGGTTTATGTAGCTTTCTACCCTGTTTTAGGTATGAGTAAGATCATCTGCCTTTTGAGCTATAAAGAATTCCAGTTCGCCTTTATATCTAGAACTCCTGTTTATAGGGCATTTTTCACGTGTTCAGTTGAATATTCATACAAGATGGGCATCTCCCACTCTCTTAAGTCCGGTTACTTATAGTTTTTGTACGTACACGCCTCTGACACTTACTGCATGTGACGAGCTGTTAGTTTAAGTCTGCACATAGATGCGAGCTTGGTTGACGTGATCTTTGTGCTTTACCCAGTCTGGGACAGTAAAGAGCTCTGTACAAAAGTCAAGACTCGTTACTTCAAACCTAACCCCCTGCAGGGGCAAGATGAAATCCTCTGTTTGTGTACAGCATTGACAGACACCCGAAGCTGACAGACTTCCAGCACCTGTTGCTGCCTAAATGTTGTGCAGATCTTCAAATGATCTCTTCCTCAACTTCCTTTTCCATTCTGGAGGGCAGCAGTGCAACAGTATTTGACCCTTCATGCTTGACCTGTCTGGCTTCTTGATTGAGTTTTCTTGTGTTGGCAATTGAATTCCATCTTTCCTATAACTTTTCAGACTGCTGAGCCAAGTAGTAGCGTCTTGAAATATCAGTTCACTCTGCTGGTTCCTTGGATTTCTTTTTTGTTTATATGTTTTTAACAGAAGTGAGGATACAGAAATACTCAGTTGTTTTCTTTATGTTGTGTGGGTTGCGAATGGAGTGAATGTGTAGCTTCTGATCAGAAAGTCTTCCCTCTAAACTTAAAGGGATAACTTTTTTTTTTTGCCGTTGCCGTACGTTTTACTTACGTATTATGTGGAAATATTTCATGTTTGAAAGAGCTGTTACTCTTGACGTTTTGACTGTGCAATCCAAATTCTTAAATAAAAAGCCACATACGAGTATTTGAAACAAAGTGGAGATGCATTATCAGCAAGCGATCACTGAGTTCATGGAAAACTTTTTCCTGTCCTTGTCTGTGTTTGTGTTAATGCCATCTTTTGGGCAGTGAGTTCTGAAATATGCTTTGCCCCACCCGCCACTGCTACACTCTGCATAGACCTTCAAAAGGAGTACGACTGAAATACTTAGCCTATCGATAATACTTTTAATTGCGTTAATCTGGTTAATCACTTTCTAGCTAATTGTTGATTGGAGGGTGGAAGGGGATTTGTAGCTCCATTGATTTAAGAGCGTGGGCTTTTGGGGATGGTATAATGGGTTTATTAATCATTGTGGTAATGTAGTTTAGATTTTAATTGGAAAGAGCTTCGTGAAGAGGCGTGTTACTTCATACACACATACTTCCTTCCCATAAACCTTAGTGGCTGTAGAAGGGAGGAAATTTGATGTTGAAGGGGAAGGTGTTCCCTGGGCGCAGAAACAATAAGGTGAAAGTATCCAGGAGACATGGACATACCCTCTCATGATCACTTTGTCCTTTCTCTCACTTCCCTAACAGGCAAATCCGAAGTGGAACAGTGGTCCGATATGTACACAGTGACCAGTCAGCTTTTTCTGAAAGTGGGACGAGAGGATGATGGGGTCCCTGTCATCTGTTTGGTGGATCACCCTGCTGTCAAAGACTTACAGACACAGCGTTACCTAGAAGTCATGTGTGAGTAGCAGAACCTCTAATTCTTCAGATGTATGAAGTCACACGCTTGAGAAGTGTTCAGAAACCATTAATTACATGATTAGATTTTATTACAGTGAAGACGGTTTGTGTCCTTTTATAGAAAAGACCAAATGAAAATGTTGGGTAACATTTAATCGATTAAGCTAAGACTTTTCCCAGCCCTTTTGAACAAAGCAAATACATGCTTTTATTCTCTTAAGGAATAACTTTCTAAACCTAGAACTTGTACCAGTTTGTTCCTGACTGGATTTTATGGCTGTCAGAACAGATTAAATCTTGAGTCTTTTTCTTTTAGCGACATACTTATCTTTCTGAACAATATAGCTGTACTACCACAGGAAAGCAGCTGGCCACTACTGCAAGCTTACTTTCACAGTGGCCAAAACTTGCCACTGTGAAAAAGAAATATATGGTTTGTACTTTGCGAGCATACAGCACTAACTGTTTTTCCACATTAGAACAACGTGAATTATGTGGAATCCATAGTAATACCACGAATTGCGATCAACCATTTTTTGCTGCAATGCATCTGAACGTGTTCATTGTTAGCACAAGGTAGTGCATCTCCTTTTGTTTAGAAACTGCTCTCCTGTACAGGATGTTAATGCTGTTTACGAGCAGGTACCTGAAAATACCTGTGGTCCTAAATGCGGACATGCCTGACTTCCATCTTGATGGAGCTGTAGTGCACGATCACTTACAATCAGAAAATGGCTTCCAAAATCAAGCAGCCATCGCAACATGGCTTTGATGCATCAGAAAAATAGGGGTGCTAGAGTCTGCTGATTTTGGACGCTCACCTCCACTATCTCTTCAGGGGAAGGGGAGGGTATATTAATTTATTTCATCTTCTTCATTATGTAGTTTCATTATGAACAACTTGGTTACAGTTCTCATATCTCTGAAACTAGCGTGAAGTAGTGTTCCTGTAATGAGGAAAACAGAAATGATCAGATACTACCTAAACTGGCATATACTAGATTTGTGACTGTGCTAATATGTAATTCATTTATGCAAACTTAATGTCCATTAACAGTTCTTGTAGAGCTCCATTAGCTTTAATAATACATTAGCACCTTTGTGAGGCTTGATCAAATACTTAAGGAGGAAAAAAAAATCCCGTCTCTCAGATTATGTGGAGAAATTGAAATCTTGCGGGCTTTCTTATATGTGTTTGTAAGGGGGTCGGATTATCTTAAGGAGTCCTTTTAGAAATCCCACAGAAATACTGGTCTTTTGATGTGATAGGGAGGGTCAATGTTTTAGGAAAAAAATTTGCCATGTGCTTTTAGGAGTTTTCTGTATTTTCCTATGAAATAGGAAAGAAAAAAGAAATCCCTTCTTGACTGCTTTCATTTCTGTCCTTTACACGTAAACGGTTCCATGCATAATGAAGGCAAAGTATACAAAAACTACAGTTATCTAGATGTCCTGTCGGACGTGCACAACCGTCAGACAATGTATTGTAGATCTGTTGCAAAATTTTTTACACTTATCACTAATTTTAGAGTTCCCTTTGGTTGTTCTGCGGAGCTCAACACGTTTGATTGTTGTATTGCAGTTAATGCAAAAGCTCCTTAGAAAGGGAATAAATACAAAAAGGTCTTTCTGATCCATTTTTATGCTGTGATCAGAGCTGAACTCTGAGCTTCCTAAAAGTAATAATTTTATATATATATGTACGCACACACTCTCTTTCTCTCTTTCTCTCTTTCTCTCTTTCTCTCTTTCTCTCTTTCTCTCTTTCTCTCTTTCTCTCTTTCTCTCTTTCTCTCTTTCTCTCTTTCTCTCTTTCTCTCTTTCTCTCTTTCTCTCTTTCTCTCTTTCTCTCTTTCTCTCTTTCTCTCTTTCTCTCTTTCTCTCTTTCTCTCTTTCTCTCTTTCTCTCTTTCTCTCTTTCTCTCTTTCTCTCTTTCTCTCTTTCTCTCTTTCTCTCTTTCTCTCTTTCTCTCTTTCTCTCTTTCTCTCTTTCTCTCTTTCTCTCTTTCTCTCTTTCTCTCTTTCTCTCTTTCTCTCTTTCTCTCTTTCTCTCTTTCTCTCTTTCTCTCTTTCTCTCTTTCTCTCTTTCTCTCTTTCTCTCTTTCTCTCTTTCTCTCTTTCTCTCTTTCTCTCTTTCTCTCTTTCTCTCTTTCTCTCTTTCTCTCTTTCTCTCTTTCTCTCTTTCTCTCTTTCTCTCTTTCTCTCTTTCTCTCTTTCTCTCTTTCTCTCTTTCTCTCTTTCTCTCTTTCTCTCTTTCTCTCTTTCTCTCTTTCTCTCTTTCTCTCTTTCTCTCTTTCTCTCTTTCTCTCTTTCTCTCTTTCTCTCTTTCTCTCTTTCTCTCTTTCTCTCTTTCTCTCTTTCTCTCTTTCTCTCTTTCTCTCTTTCTCTCTTTCTCTCTTTCTCTCTTTCTCTCTTTCTCTCTTTCTCTCTTTCTCTCTTTCTCTCTTTCTCTCTTTCTCTCTTTCTCTCTTTCTCTCTTTCTCTCTTTCTCTCTTTCTCTCTTTCTCTCTTTCTCTCTTTCTCTCTTTCTCTCTTTCTCTCTTTCTCTCTTTCTCTCTTTCTCTCTTTCTCTCTTTCTCTCTTTCTCTCTTTCTCTCTTTCTCTCTTTCTCTCTTTCTCTCTTTCTCTCTTTCTCTCTTTCTCTCTTTCTCTCTTTCTCTCTTTCTCTCTTTCTCTCTTTCTCTCTTTCTCTCTTTCTCTCTTTCTCTCTTTCTCTCTTTCTCTCTTTCTCTCTTTCTCTCTTTCTCTCTTTCTCTCTTTCTCTCTTTCTCTCTTTCTCTCTTTCTCTCTTTCTCTCTTTCTCTCTTTCTCTCTTTCTCTCTTTCTCTCTTTCTCTCTTTCTCTCTTTCTCTCTTTCTCTCTTTCTCTCTTTCTCTCTTTCTCTCTTTCTCTCTTTCTCTCTTTCTCTCTTTCTCTCTTTCTCTCTTTCTCTCTTTCTCTCTTTCTCTCTTTCTCTCTTTCTCTCTTTCTCTCTTTCTCTCTTTCTCTCTTTCTCTCTTTCTCTCTTTCTCTCTTTCTCTCTTTCTCTCTTTCTCTCTTTCTCTCTTTCTCTCTTTCTCTCTTTCTCTCTTTCTCTCTTTCTCTCTTTCTCTCTTTCTCTCTTTCTCTCTTTCTCTCTTTCTCTCTTTCTCTCTTTCTCTCTTTCTCTCTTTCTCTCTTTCTCTCTTTCTCTCTTTCTCTCTTTCTCTCTTTCTCTCTTTCTCTCTTTCTCTCTTTCTCTCTTTCTCTCTTTCTCTCTTTCTCTCTTTCTCTCTTTCTCTCTTTCTCTCTTTCTCTCTTTCTCTCTTTCTCTCTTTCTCTCTTTCTCTCTTTCTCTCTTTCTCTCTTTCTCTCTTTCTCTCTTTCTCTCTTTCTCTCTTTCTCTCTTTCTCTCTTTCTCTCTTTCTCTCTTTCTCTCTTTCTCTCTTTCTCTCTTTCTCTCTTTCTCTCTTTCTCTCTTTCTCTCTTTCTCTCTTTCTCTCTTTCTCTCTTTCTCTCTTTCTCTCTTTCTCTCTTTCTCTCTTTCTCTCTTTCTCTCTTTCTCTCTTTCTCTCTTTCTCTCTTTCTCTCTTTCTCTCTTTCTCTCTTTCTCTCTTTCTCTCTTTCTCTCTTTCTCTCTTTCTCTCTTTCTCTCTTTCTCTCTTTCTCTCTTTCTCTCTTTCTCTCTTTCTCTCTTTCTCTCTTTCTCTCTTTCTCTCTTTCTCTCTTTCTCTCTTTCTCTCTTTCTCTCTTTCTCTCTTTCTCTCTTTCTCTCTTTCTCTCTTTCTCTCTTTCTCTCTTTCTCTCTTTCTCTCTTTCTCTCTTTCTCTCTTCTCTCTCTTTCTCTCTCTCTTTCTCTCTCTCTTTCTCTCTCCCTCTCTCTCCCTCTCTCTCCCTCCCTCTCCCTCCCTCTCCCTCCCTCTCCCTCTCTCTCCCTCTCTCTCCCTCTCATTTGTGTCATATAACAGCCTCAAGGCTCACATGAGTTATCACTTAGTCTTTTTTCCTCCCTATTATTGCAGTTCTCGGCTCATGCTGAGTCTCTGTCATGCCTCAATCCCTTCCTTGACTTCTGACTCCAACAGCAGAGGTCTGTCTTGGTTTCGTTACTAATAGGGAGAAGCTTCTACCTCAGAATAGGTTTTATTTTCATTTGCATGTCAATAGCCAAAGGGAATCATCACATGGACGTGTATTCTAGTCAGTAACAACCTGCAGTCTTTTTGGAATGGATGCTGTAGAAGCACAGGTTTCTCTAACCATTTCCAAATCCTGAATCTGGTTTTGTTTCTATGTTTAATGAGCTTTTGGAAACAGTATCAATAGACAAACGTGTGTGTGCCTGGAAAGAACAAAGAGGACTATCCAGCAGAATACTTCTAAGGGGTTTCCTCAAAAACATTGTCCAGAAGTGGAATTTTGTCTGTACAAACTATACAGAAATCAGTGTATTTTGATGGTTTGAATGAAACAGAGTAGTAGTCCTCAGAGCTGTTGCTAGAAACCCTGGGAGCATTGCTGATGGTGTAGCAAGGAAGGATGAAAGTGTGCTGCGCTTCCTTTCCACATCCTATAAGATGCTTTTTCATCTGAGCTATAAGGCCCTGCAAACCTTTTCCTGGCCTGAGTCGCGAAACTTTTTCCCTTGGGAATGAGTTTTGTAGTGAGGTAGATCCGACTCATAGCATTTCCTTGCAATGATGAAGTTTGAGGTGCAGCAATCACATACGTTCTCCTTTGGGCATCAGTTTTCCCATTCCTAGAATGAGGTTAGCAGTAAATCTCCCTGAGACCTAAGAACGTGGGGACTTGACCCATGTTAGTCCAGTTAGATCTTTCAGTGGGCAGCAGCAGAATGTAAGAAGAAAAACACGTCGCAACTGATAACCTTGCAGCTCCCACTGATTAGTGGCTCCAGGACTTCGTGCACTGGAGAGCGTGTTGAGACGCATGCATTTAATACCTACCATTGGACCTGACCTCCAGATAGAAAAGGCAGTTAAGAAGCAAACTGTTACCCTAGGAGCTTCTCCCGCTTCAAGC